AACCCACCTGCAGGCAGCTTACATCATCCTCAGCTCAGAGAATTTCACCAGGGCACTGTGAAACAATTCAGTCATTCTTGGAGGCCCACACATTATAGTTCCCTCTATTATTAATTGCTCAAGATTTCAGGAAGATAAAATAGCCATGGCATTTTGAAAACCATTTCAGAAGATATAAGCATATCAAATGGTGAGTGTTTGGTGAACCCCACGGTAGAATGGTTAAGCATTTGGTCTTCTGAGTCAGTAGAAACTTTGGCTTAAAGCCCAACTGCATCATTTACTAACTGTGTGACCTTCAGCAAGTGACTTACCTTCTCTGAGCTCCGATATCCTTATCTCTACACTGGGGGTAAAGTTACCAACCTCCTAAAATATTGTGAAGATTTCTGGAAATGGTGTTTATAAAGTATTAGTGCGGTTCCTGGCAAATGCTTCAAACTCAATAAATGGAAGCTGCCATCGTCAGTGTCATCATCATCGTTACCATCATCACAATCACTGATGTCATTATCAGGAGGAAGAAAAGAAGGAGGAAACATTTTGTAGGCTTTTAAAACTTCTTTCATCCACTTCTGACCTCAGAATAATTACAATAATCTATTACTGTGTCATAATATCTAAAAGAACCTATCTGTACCATCGTGGGAGGAACCATATTAATTCAGCAGAGTAACTGGGTTCATGCTGCCTTCTCTACCTTCTCAGGCTTCTCTGTGAGGCCTAGTAGAACACTTTCTTATTCTTCCTGCATTCTCACTGTGTGGAGTCTGTGTACCTCCAGTTAGCTCTTTCCTCATTACCCTTTCCTGTGTCAATAGCTGTGACTGATATCAGGATGGATTCAAAGTCAGGCAACTTTATTGGCCACCAGCAGTGTGACCTTGAGCAAATCAGTTAATTTCACTGGGGCTTTGTCTCTTCATCTGGACACTGGGGTCATATTACCCACCTCACAAGGTTACATGAGATGGTTTTCCCAGCATGTAATAGGTTCGCATAAACATCATAGTTACTAGAATTCATGGACATGTCTGGTTCTCCCACTGTATTATAAATGTGTTAAGGACTATATTAGTCTGCTCTTATGCTGCTAATAAAGATGTACCTGGGTAATTTATAAAGGAAGGAGATTTAATTGACTCACAATTCAGAATGGCTGGGGAGGCCTCAGGAAACTTACAGTCATGGCAGAAGGGGAAGCAAACACGTCCTTCTTCACAGGGCGGCAACAAGGAGAAGTATGAGCAAGAGGAGGAAAAGCCCCTTATAAAACCATCAGATCTCATGAGAACTCACTCCTACTCATGACACGTGGGGATTATGGGAACTATAATTCAAGATGAGATTTGGGTGGGGACACAGCCAATCCATATCAGACACTCTGCCTGACACATGGTAGATCCTCAAAAGTCCTTGCTAAAAGGGAAATAAAAGTTCAGGCACTTGGGATGAGATAAAGCATCAAGAGTGGGTGGGGGAGTACAAACCAGGGTCAGGGTACTCAGCAGACCCTGATCACATTCTGCCCCTCACTCCTCTCTCCTTTCCTTTCTCCCAGGAAGTGATATTTCCTTGGGCTTTTCCTAGGCCATTTACACTGAGTAAGGACACCCTAGTGACTTTGTTCTGGATAGATCAAAGCCCTTTTCAAACATTACCTCATCTGCCTCCCATCAGCCTGGGGTGGCAGAGAGCTGGTTGGCCCAGAATGATTGTTCCCATTCTACAGGTGAAAACAACAAGGACAAGGATGCATACACTGACTCACAAGTTGAATCAGTGCCTGCTGGGCAGCCCACCAGGACAGTGTTGCTTCCTAATGACTATGGCGTTTGTTTGAAGTTTATAGATTGAGTTTCTGCCACGGTGGAGCCAAGACCAACCTCCTCACACTTTCCCAGAGTGCCTGGATTATTTTTATTTCTCTATACCTTTGTGTTAGGGATCCCATAGATGAAAAAAAAAAGAAAAAAGGAACTCTGGGTTCTGACTATGTAGCAAATCAATACAGATCCCATGTATAAATTTTTAGTTGGTTTGCCTTTACTGGGAAGCTGGAAAATTTTTATTCATGAAGTCACCCTGCTTCATCCATGATGACCCCTTAACCAGGAATCTCAGTACTAGCCTATGACAGCATTCTGTACAAGTCTTCACTACTGTGCTAAAATTACTTCTTTGTAAGAATTGTCCTCATGTATTGATGCTGGGCATAAAGGGGCAGTAAAAAGAACATTTGGAAGTAGATTCAGGGGACCAAGAATCATCATCTAAATTCTTTGAGATTTTTTCCCCTCTAAGAATTGGGGAAGTAATGTGTGTGAAAAATCACAGTGCCTGACAAATAGTAGGGACTCCTTAAACATTAGTTAAACCAGAATCCCTGGAATTTGGTTCAATCCCTGGCTCACAGTAAGTGCTCTGTAAACATTTGTTTGGACTGTATAGGTATTTGAATATATGGCAGGATTATTTTTATGAGCATTTTCTGCCTAGTTTAATTCTTAATTTTTTTTTTTTATTTGAGACAGAGTCTCACTCTGTCACCAGGCTGGAGTGCAGTGGCACGATCGCGGCTCACTGCAACCTCTGCCTCCTGGGTTCAAGAGATTCTCCTGCCTCAGCCTCCTGAGTAGCTGGGATTACAGGTGCCACCATGCCCAGCTAATATTTTGTATCTTTAGTAGAGACAGGGTTTCACTAGGTTGGCCAGGTTGGTCTCAAACTCCTGACCTCGTGATCTGCCAGCCTCGGCCTCCCTAAGTGCTGGGATTACAGGCATGAGCCATCAATTCTTAATTTCTAAAGCCCACCAATGGCAAGTCCTCACTGGTCAATCTCATATATGACCCTGATCTTGATACCAAGCTATCAACTCATAAAAATGTATCGAGGGTCTCCTAGCTTCGAGAGTTGTATCCCCATCTACAGCATTTCAGACGTTTGTTTCTGTGACAGCAGCTTGGACTGGTGTCCTGCCATGCTCTGCACTGGAAGACATCTCAGCATGTGTGGATGATGTTGTAGGTGCTGGCAACTGCCTTGGAACATGGTTGCACGTAAGGAGTGTTTAACAGTGAGCCATCAGATGAAGGGTGCCAGGGCCAAGAGCTCCAGAATAAATACATTCCATTCTCACCTTACACTGTTGCTGATTTAACTGTGCTTTAAGGCCAGCCCATTGTCAACCCAGCGTGGAAGCAGGGACATTTCTTCACATGTCTATTGTGAGGTTAGGGGAATACGGTCACACTGTGACAGATAAGTCCTGTTCCAAGTTTTCTTAGCATGTGTGTGTTTGTATGTGTGTGGGTGCGGGTGTGGGTGTGGGTGTGTGTGTCTTTCTCTCAGTGGATCCTGGCCACAGAGTCTTGCTGGGGGATTCCACACCCATGAGATGTGCAAATCTTGAGACTTTTTTGTCGACAAATTTTATCAAGTGTTCACCTTGCCCATGTGTTTCTGTTAGGGTCTCAACAGGAAGCAGATGACATAATTCAAAATAGGATAATCTGAGGAAGGTTATTTGCAATGAGACTATTTACAGTGGTGTTGGGGGTAGGAACCACGACAGAGGGAGCAGTAACTTTTGGGTCAGCAGCATCCATGATGTTACCACTTCCAGACCTGAGGCACAAAGGAAGGGCTATTACCGCAAACTGGAGGGAGGGCCAGGGAGCCGTGACCTTCAGCTGAGGGACCTGCCAACTGGAGGTGACCTTGCCAGTAAGGATCCAGGGGCCTAACCTACTCTAACCGACCTTTCTTTTTCCTCCAGTCTTCTGTGGGGTTCTCCACTGAGCACACCCTAAAGCCAGGGAGCCCAGGGAACGCGAAGCAATTTGTAGAGGTCAGTCTCCCGGGGCAGAGGGCAGGCAGGAGAAGTATTTGGAGCATATGCAGACGAGGGTATCTGGGGGGGAAAATGTAAGACATCAGGCACTATACTGAACTGTCTAATGGACAGAGTGATTTCAGGTTTTGTAGGGACTGAAGTTCACATAATTTTGGAGGATCTACTTTAAGAAAAATCAGCTGGGTGTGGCGGCTCACGCCTGTAATTCTAGCACTTTGGGAGGCCGAGGTGGGGTGGATTGCTTGAGCTCAGGAGGTCAAGACCAGCCTGGGCAACAAGGTCAAACCCTGTGTCTACAAAAAATACAAAAATTAGTCAGGAGTGGTGGCCTGTGCCTGTAATCCCAGCTACTTGGGGGGTTGAGGTGGGAGGATTGCTTGAGCCCAGGGGGTCAAGGCTGCAGTGAACGGAGATTGCGCCAAAGCACTGCAGCCTGGGTGACAAAGTGAGATTCTATCTTAAAAAAAAAAAGAAAAGTAAAATTGACAAATAAAAAACCAAAAAGCTATGTAAACTCATTGAAGGACCTGCGCAAGTGAGGTCTTGAAGCTTACGCTTCATTGGCTTCATTGTTAATCTCCCTCTGCCTGTGATTTCAGTGATTTTGACCTGGAACAGTGACCCAGTGCCCAATAAGCTTTCAGTCTCATGGATGATGGAGACTTAGCTGATTATAATAAACACAACGCAAACTGTGGCATACGTTGATTACAGGTGAAACACTGCAGAGGATTAGGTAGACATTGAGATAGGCTTTGAAATAGACTTCGAAAAACAGTAGAATTTAGACACATATCAATGATTGGGCAGAATAATACTAATACTATCTGCTATTTATTGAGCACCAACTAAGTTTAAAGTACTGTCTATAGATTATTTCATTTAATCCTAACAGAAGCAGGAAACTTATTTTACATCCAACTCTCTGCCAACACAATAAATCAAGCTACTAAGAACAAGGCTGTAAACCGTATTTCCTAGAAGGCTAGGGAGCAGAAGGACGGGGAGCTCCCTTTGCCGCTAAGAGACTCCAACTCCCAGGATGCCTTGGGAGCGCTGGACCACAGCTCCCGGCATTCCCGGGGAGGCGCGGGGCTAACGCAGCCTCCGTCCCGCCCCGCCGCGTTCCCGCTCGTCCCGCCCCTCCTCGTCGCCTCCGAGCCAATGGGAAGGCTCCATACTGCAGGGTGCGAAGGGGCCGGCGTCGCTGCCTAGTTGCTAGTCGGTGAAAGCGGCGGGAAGTTCGTACTGGGCAGAAGGTGACGGGTCTGCGGCTTAGGGTAGGGAGGCCGCAGGCGACACTGCTCGAGGACTCGCGCGCCTAGCTGGGGGCGCGGAGGAGGGCGGCCGGGGGCTGGGCCGGCACTGGGCCTTCCGGGCGGTCTGTGGGTCCGCCGGGGTGCGGAAGGCGCCGTCAGCCCTAGCCGCCCCGCGGGACCGCGCTCCGCCGCGTGGCTTCCGCCTGCGCGGGCGTTCACTCTTTGCTTGTCTCGCTCAGGCCCCGCCGGCGATCCCGGGGATTCCTGGACTGGCCAGGTCGGCCCCCATCTGAGCTCCACGTTCTGGACGCGCGTGGTGTCGCGGCCGAGCTCGCAAACGCCGCCTCGGGCCTCGCCGGGAAGCTGGGTCTGTCAGGCGGGGCCCACGCCTCGCGGAGCCCGCTGTCTACTAGGGAAACAACACACGTAGCTGCGATGCTTTGCGGATACGGACAGGCTTTCTTAGAAACGGGACAGGCAGTTGCGGGCTAAAGGAATGGGCGCGAGGCTCTTTAGGTTAGGTGATCCGGGAGGGCATCTCAGAGGATGTGACCTTTGACTTGAGACCTGAGAGGGAAGAGGGAGGCTGACCCCTGAGGATAGCAGCCAGGCCTGGGGACCGCGAGGCCGCCCGTTATTTCCCTGTCACGTCGCGGGGAGGCCCCGTGGTCTTGTACTTGAGGGTCTGTCTGGTGCAAGGCAGTTAGAGCCGCTTGTGGGTTTTGCAAAGGACTTTCGTATCCCGTTTGACAGTTCCTCCTCTGTTCTGTCCCTACCTGGCAGGGTGGCATCCTTTACTGTTGCAGCTCCATTCAAGGGCAACGCATAGTTTTTCCTGCCACCGAAATAGTGTTTTGGTTCTCGTCTCAAAACTCTTAGGTGATTGAATTAAATTCGACAGACAGCAGCAGAGTCAGACACTATGGGTTCCTGTTGAGGCCACCCATTTTTCTGATGTCCTTTCTTTCAAGTTACCCATTTTTGTTTTCCTTTGTATAGGCTCTTGCCTTCCCTCTCCTGTGTCCCTTGGAACAACTTGGAAACACCAGTTTTGCTACTGGGAGGATGTTTTAGGGAACTGTTGAAGAACCTCGTTAATTACTGTGTGTGTGTTTTTCTTTTCTTTTCTTTTCTTTTTTTTAAACTGGAATTGCCCATCTGTTGAATCTCAAATTCAAAAGAGTAAAAAAAATGTAGGGCAGCATTTATTTTCAAGAGTTCGCAATAAAGGCACCTTTCTTTATGACATGCTGAGCATGATACTTTGGGGGAGAATTTAATCTAGAATTTTGAAGCATTTTCAGAAGGAAGCAAGGGTTCTTTATATAGTCATTTTATGTAGGTTACGTTTATGTTCTTCAAAATGGCATGTAGTGATTGGAATTAAATTTCTGGGTGGATATTATTATGTTCATCTGTTACCTATAGAAGGGAATATAACTTAGTCACTTAATAATAGCTTTCTCTGTTGATGCTACCACAGATGGTATTCTCTGCATCTCAACATTGCTGATCAGATTCTGTGTTAATACAGTAACACAACTTGAATTTAATAACAATAAACTTGTGTTAGGCGTTACTGTCAATTTAGTTCTGGTATCTAGTACAAATACCAGCTTTATAGTGCAATGGCTTCTTGTTATGCTCAGTGCTGCAAAAATTATGAGAGGATATTTGTTAAACAAATGAGATAATGGAGTAATGTGTTAAGCATAGAGCCTGGCATATAGTAAGTTAGTAAGTGCCCAGGAAATGGTTATATGGAAAGCTTATGCTAAGTTTTATTCCAGTATGCAAGTGTGTATTTTAAAAATAACAGTAATGCATTCAAAATGTTGACAGACCCTAAAATTAAATTTCTTAAAGGAAATAGGCCAGCTTTTTTTTTTTTTTAACTTTGAGAACTAATGTGAAATAATAATAAATATATAAGTGAAATGTCCCAGATGTCTAGAAATGAAAAAACAAGATTTTAATTTTGACAGCTATTTTTTTTTCTTAAAAGCATCCTTAATAAGATATAATGTACTATGATTAGGATTATGATTTGAAAAATAAAACTTTAAAAATATTTTTGATTTGAAAAATAAAACTTACTTGGAAATGAAGCGAAGCTTTAAGATTTACCTTATATCAAATGAAGGATGTCTCCTGAATTTATGCAAATGTGCAAATGCTTATATCTCCATAGATCAGGCAGTGAGCCTAATGGGAATTAAATGCTCCCTCTTTGTGCGTGTGAGTGAGGCTTTCATGAAAATTGCTCTTGATGGGTTCTGAGAATGGATTGGTAACTGAATAGGACTGGAGAATATTTTTCAGACTGGTAGGATATTTTACATGCTTGCCAGGGTTATTTTTCGGAGAAGAAATGGACTCATTTATTCACCAGAGATCACGTGCCCCCTATTTGCAAGGAATTGTGCTAGGTGCAAAGTCTGTTCTTGCTATTGCAGTGTTTTGCTGAAGCAAGTTTTCTTTGTTTTAAATTAATGTGCATCTGTTTTGTTTTTTTTTTAAACTTTATCTAGCATCCAGCACAGAATAATCCAATAAATGTGTAGGGCACATTTGAAAAACTGTATTATTAATGTTAAAATGTAGAAAATGTTTAATAAAGGTGCAAGATTAATTTAAAAGGGAGATAGAACCCTAATAAAACATTTAGGTAGGTGTTGTAACCAAGATGTAATTTTACTGTAGGATAAGTTTGGCTCCTTTGATCAAAATTCCTGTGAATCTATTTCTCATTGCCTTTATAAAGATGCAGAGGGCTGTGTCCTTTGAATTTTTTCCCTTTGGTGCTTGAATGATATTTAAGCATCCAGCATTCCGAAGTTGCTATTTTGAAGTAATTTCATGCACTTTCCCAATTACTCCTGCTCCATCTCTCCCAATGTTGTCTTAAATCTTTGCACTCAAATTCAAGCACATCCTACTACTCTTGTTCTGAGTGACATATGGGCAACACTTTGAAAAAGAAAAGCTCTCTAGAAAATCTATTAGAGGTATGAGCAGGGGCCCTTCTCCCATATTAGGAGTTAGATTTTTAGTATTCATCATAAATACTAATGAGAAGAAACTGCTCTACTTTTACCAACATTCTTCAGGAAATTTATTAAGAATTTTATTAGCCACAGCATCTTTGTCAGCTTGGAAAAATATATGTTTGTGAATCATGTTTATTTAGTCTTTAGGTAAGTACAGGATTTTGATGATTCTTTGCAGTTACTCCTATCTCTCTATGGGTCTCTTGCCCATAGGATGGGAACCAGTGCTCTAGGATTTGAAAATTAAGGTAGATACTGTTCACACTGGCAAATATTGAAGATGAATATTAAACTTGTATACTAAAATGTTTATTGGTAAGTCTTATTCATTAAATGGGAAGATATACTAGATGAAGTAATAATTAAATTGCAAGGTAATTTGAGATTTGGGAATGTTCTGTCATACACTTTTAAAGCAAATATTATACTGATAATAGAAGGACACATGTCTTGTGGAGCTCAATATCAGGAACAATATAGTTGGTCCTCTAGGGGACTAAACATGAGAACTGAAAGTCATTAGGAACACCAGCAGCCCCATTCTACTGTTTCGAGGACCTTATAATTTCTTTCTGTGTATTTTCTTTTCTTTTTGAGGACCGTCTGTCTGACTGTTTGTATGTTGGCAGATATGTCTGCTCTAGACTTAGATACTTGCTTTAAGAATCCAAAAGAGATTGCATTATCTAATTGTCATTTGTATCTAAAATTAAACCATGACTTTAGACATAGCTGAGATAACCATAGCTTTATTTCAGGTTAATTGCTTTTCTTAAACTGTGTTTATCAAGTAACAGCTAAAGAAAAGTCATCATTTGATGACACTAAGTATTAATGCATTGTGATTGCATTTCACAATATTAAGTGTTAGAACTGTTAGACCTTAAGTCTTTATAGATTGTGTCTGGAAAACAGGGAAAGAAATGTTTACTGTTTCTACTGTAGTCTTTAGAGTTGCTTTTTTCACACTTTATTGCAGTTTACTATATAATTTGGCAACAGCTATCAACATAGAGATTATATGTAATTACAGTGTACCCTTGAACAACTCAGGGGTTGGGAGTGCTGACCCCCACGCAGTTGAAAATCCATGTATAAGCTTTGACTCCTCAAAAGCATAACCACTCAGCCTGTTGACCAGAAGCCCTATCAATAGCATAAACAATTGATTAACACATATTTGTATGTTATATATACTATATGCTATATTCTTACAATACAATAAGCTAGAGAAAAGAAAATGTTATTAAGAAAACCCTAAGAAAGAGAAAATATATTTCTGGTTGATGAAGCGGAAGTGGGCCATCTTAAAGGTCTTCATCGTCATTGTCTTGGTGTTGATAAGTTCAGGAGGAAGAACAAGAGGAGAAGTTGGTCTTGCTGTCTTGGAGTGGCAGAGGCAGAAGAAAATCTGTGTATAAGTGGACCTGCACAGTTCACACTCATGTTGTTCAAGGGTCAGCTGTATACATTTTTTCTTAGCGGTAATAAAACAAATCTGTTATTTGGGAATCAGGAAAAAAGTTCTAAGATTCATTTTTTAAAAATAAGTTCAGATTGTAACATTTAAGTTTAATCTTGTTTTTTCAGACTTGCAGAAAATACTTTAGAAATGCTGATTGTAAAATTTATCTTTTATATGTTGCTGGTAGGAATCTAAAATGATTGCTGGAAATTAGTTTGGCAATTTCTTGAAAAGTTAAACATACACTTGACACACAATCCAGCAGTTGCACTCCTGAGCCTTTATCCTAGAGAAATGAAAACTTACATTCACAAAAAAACCTGTACATGAATGCTCGTAGCAGCCTTGTTTATAGTAGCTAAAAACCAGAAACAACTCACATGTCCTTCAGTGGGTGAGTGGTTAAGTAAAATGTGATAGTCTTGCAGTAGAACACCACCATCAGTAAAAGAAACAAACTGTTGGTACATGCAACAACTTGGATGGAGTTTAAGGGCATTGTATTG